TTAGTAAAGCACACACTCAGTGTATCAGATAGCGGGTATGATACATGAATGTGCTCCACACAGGGGGTCTGCATCTCATTTATATACACACTGAACAGCAGCTACGCTAATTATTCTCTTTATTCTCTATTTGCACCTGGGGATACACATCCCGAGGCCCTCAGACTATGCAGTGCCACTGATTCGATCCAAGACCAGCGACGAGATGATCCCAAGGTTTCCATAATCCTGGACCAGGCCGTATCCTGAGCAACCAGCTCCCAGCCTCCAGCGCCTAGACTGCAGCTCTGCACAAGACGTTTTGCCAGTGGCGGTGCCCAACTGGGCCTGGTTTCTCTCGAGGTTTTTTAATTCTTCACTTTTGTCAAGTTTTTTCCTCGCCGCTGACGCCACTGATTTGCATGGTTCGGGACCTGTAGAGCTGCACATCGATGGATTTGCTCTGCAGTGTTTGGACTCTCAGTAGTGATTATTAACCCACACTGAACTGAGCTGAACTATGATTTACTATGATCTTCTATGGTAAGCTGCTTTGACACATGCTACATTGTAAAAGTGAAATAAAGGTGAATTTAATTAAATTGAATTGAAAAGGTATACTTTTGTACCTTACAGAGAAACATAGGTAGCTTTGATGCCTGTTTCCACAGAGTGGTAAGGTTCGGTAGGGTTCGGTGTGCTTTTATGGCCGTTTACACGGTCAAAAGGTACCTAAAAGTGAACCGTACTGTACCACTATTTGGGTACCCTTTCCAAAGGGTACCTAGCACAACAAAAGCGTACCAAAAAGCGGAGCGGGACACACAGCTGAGCGCTATTGGTTTACAGAGAAATGTCACCAGAGAGTGCACAAGCAGGAGAATGAAAACAAAGGAACTGCCATTATAAATACACAGCCGAGACATTACACCATAATAATATATACATATAATAACAAGCCATAATTGACCCGAGCTTAAGCAAACCTTGTAACAAAGCCGAGAAGATAAACCTGTTGTCCTGTTGTTGTTTACGAAGCCGTCTAAAGCCGATAGCTCACTGCACTTCTATATTTACAATAAAAAACTTCTTGAGCTTATGACTGCAACGTATAATGTTATAATCAAATCCTGTTCATAGAAAGGTTAATAATGAGCATTTATACACAAGTGTTTATGTGTATAAAGCATCTGTTTTGTGAGACATGCTTCTCATATGATATGTGAACGACCCTTACAGCTTTATTGTAGACATTTCTTCGATTGAGAATGACGTCGAATGAAACTTTCTGTCGTACACCACGCCCAATGGTAACCTTTTAGCAGTGGAAACACAAGCCTGATAAACGTGACCCGTACCGACCTGTACCATACTGTAGCACTCAGTGGAAACAGGCCAGAAGAAACACGTTTGTACCTGTAGAGTATACTTTTGTACCTTTCAGAAATTGAGGTACACATTTGTACTTTTTAGGTGTAAATAAACACCTTTAAAAGGTGCAAATGTGGACCTGATAGA